ATCTTCATATCGATTTCCAAAGTGGCTGGACTAGTCGGCACTCCCACCAGCAGTGGAGGAGTGTTCCCCTCTCTCCACATCCTCTCCAGCATAAACTGTCATTAGTGTTTTTGATTTTAGCCATTCTGATGGGAGTGAGATGGTATCTCAGAGTTGTTTTGATTTGCAACATTCCTATAAGCAACTATTTTCGTTGTTGTTGTTCTTTAGACGTGGGGCGCTGCACTCTGGAGAGCTTGTGTGTCTCAGCCAGGTGGGAGGTGGGAGGGGAACTGAGGGATTCCAGCATTCATCTTTGACAGTAATTTTTCCTGTATGCAAATTTTGTAAATTTACCAAACGTTTTTTGCATCTCACTCTTCTGCCCTGTTCTCCTGTCTCGGGAGTCCTTAGTGGTCACATTAGCAGCCAGCAGCCGCCATTCCCTGCTCAGCACAAGGCCCCTGGGCATGTGTTGGGTGCCTGCCATGCCTAGAGGAGAGAGTTTCACACCAGACGCCTCCGCTTCGCCTTAGGCCTGGGCCTTACCTCTCTGGAGGCCAGTCTCCAGGCTGCAAAGTTTCATGTGGAAGACTCTAGCAGATGTAGAATTTTCTGTCTTGGCACAGAGAGCTGGCTTCCAAAGGGGAGCTCTGTGGGCTCCAGGAGCTCAGTGGCTTCAGGGTTTCCAGGGGGAGAACAGGCTTGTGGAACAGACCCAGAGACTCCTGTGGTCCATAAGGGCATGGATGGCCCTGACGCCCCACACAACTTGTCCTTGATATTGTGTGGGATAACACTGGGACCTTATCCCTGGATTCTTCAAGGAGTTTGTGATTCAGGACCTATCCCAGCACTGGGGAGCTCCAGACCCTCCCGTGGGAGCTCCTAAGACCCTGGCAATGGAAGCAGGATGGCACCAGGTGGTCCTCTTCTGCTGATGCAGTGAGATTAAACTAGAGACATGAATTCTTTGTGGTCTCAGGCACCCAGGTCCCCAGGTGCACTCTCCCTCCTGAGACCCAGACCGAATGGGTTCAGCAGCAAGGAGCTGGCAGGATACTGCCAGTTATAAATGCCAGCTGCCACACACACACACACACACACACACACCACACACACATACACTACATCATAAATACACACCACACTACACACATGTGTACACGCACATACCACATCACCTACATACACCACACACAGACGTGTGTACACACACACTTCACATCATACACACACACATACCACACCATACACACATGTGTACACACACATGCACACACACTACACACCATACACCACTCATACCACAGTATACACATACACTACAGCACACCTACCACACTACACACACACACACACACACCACACATACCACACCACCTACATACACCACACACAGATACATGTGTACACACATGCACACACACATGTTACATACACACTCACACACACACAGTGCTCACTGACATCGGTACATCTCTCTCCAGCAAGAGGTCTGTTGGCAGCCAGGGCCTGCAACGTGCACCGAGCCCAGTTATTCTGACAAAGGTCCAGGGCTGTCTAACTTCTGCACTCTCTCAACATGGCAGCGTTTCTTTCCTTCTCCTTTTAGAATCTGTTGTCTCATGGCTTCAAGGTTCTGTCTTAGTCAGGGTTCCATTGCTGTGAAGAGACACCATGACCATGGCGACTCTTAAAAGTAAGCACTTAACTGGGGCTGGCTTACGGTTTAGAGGTTCAGTCCCCTGTCATTATGGCGGGAAGCATGGCAGCATGCAGGCAGACATTGGTGCTGGAGAGGGAGCTGAGAGTTCTTACATCTGGATCCATAGGGAGCAGGAAGGAAGGAAGACTCTGGGATTGGCTTGGGCTTTTGAGACCTCAAAGCCTACTACCAGTGGCACACTTCCTCCAACAAGACCACATCTCCTAACCCGCTCAACAGCGCCACTCCCTGGTGGCTAAGCATCAAACATGTGAGCCTGTAGAACGGTTCCTTTACAAACCAGCACACGATCACAACACCAGACGGTGCATTTGTGTCCATGGTAGAAATCCCCAGAAGAAAAAAACACACTCCTGAAAACCTTGAGTTTGTTTTCTCTTTGGGGATCCTTCATAAACAGGAGTCATGGCCACCACAGTTCCAGGGAGACCCCAGGCGTTCTCACCCCTAAGAAGAGAGGTGGGCAGCTTGACTGGATCAGTAGGACCCTTGCAGTGCTCCAAATGCCTACAAGCACACTCTCCTAGGCTGGCTAAGTAGGCCACTTACCATTTTTGTTGTGAGCATTTTAATGAGCCATGCTTGTGATCTTTTCCCAGGTTTATGATGATTTCCTTATCATAAATTCCTGCAAATGGAATTCTGAGGCCAACAGCGTCTGCTGCTGAAGGCTCCTCATGTGTAGCTGGGACCGTCCTGATTTTAGCAATAGATTCATGGGTCTTTCCCAGACACACCCCCTAGCCCTCTTTAGCACAGTGTCTTCCAGGCTCATCTGTGTTACCCTATTACCCACGGACATCCTACAAAGGGTCGGTTTCTTTACCCCTGGAGCCAGCAGGGGTTCAGCCAGAATGTTCAACTCTCTGTCAACACAAGTGACTTGCTGAGTTGCTTCACAGTCTGCACACTGGGGTGGCGTGTGGGTGAGACTTTCCTCTTCACCCTGTAGCTAGAGTTTCTGTCCCGCGTGGTCCCACAGCCGCTTTGCCCCAAATAAACACACAGACACTATATTAATTATTAAACTGTTGGCCGGTGGCTAGGACTTCTTATTGGCTAGCTCTGTCTTAATTATTAACCCATAACTACTAATCTATGTATTTCTACATGGCATTATCTTACCAGAGAATGCCTGGTGTGTCCTATTTTCCCGATCTCTACATGGCATCTCTTTCTCTTCCTGGTGGCCTCTCTCTGCCTCCTCACCCCAGAATTCTCCTCATCTCATAACTTTGCCAATATCACCCACCTCATTGAATAAACTTGGCCAAATCTGCCGGTGGTGGAGTTGAGGTAGGGTTCCGTCCAAGCTATGGGTCAGTCCCAAGGTCACCATCCCATGACTTTGAGCCTGCTATTCGGGAGGAGGTGGGGAGCGGCTAGATCCTGGTGGGACCAGGTTCCCTTCTTGTGCTTGTGTGAGCATCCGATCTTTTGGCTTGGAAGGTGGGAGGGGCGTTCTCTGGTGTCCAGGTGTCTGAGCTGGAGCTGGTCTACAGAGTGGGGAGGCCGAGAGCTGTGTGTGAGTGGGGCTGTGGTCTGTCTGTTGTAGCTCTTCCCTCCTGCAACTTTCAGACACCGGGTCCAGCCAGCATCCCAGAGCCTTAGGAAGAGGGTCAGCCCAGAGTCTCCAGAAGGGACACTTCGGTGGACCCTCCTTCCTTTATGTAGGTCTCCCCTTCTATGCCTCAATTGTTTTGGGGATCATCCTGGATGATGGGTCTCCAGAAAAGGGCATAGTTTGGAGTTTGGGGTTTTTTTTCCTCCTGCACACCAGCTAAACTTTCCAGATGGAATCCTGACCAAGGAGATCTCTGCTGTCAAGTTCACTCCAAGGAAACACAGAAGGTGGGAGAATTTGGTTAACAGTGGTGGGAGAATTTGGTTAACAGTGAGCAGCCGAAGCCCTGGTGGAGTTGTGGGGCTGGAGTCAGCCCTGAGTTTCTCTTCTGCGGCATAGGCGATCCTGAGAAGGACAATGTGTCTAGCTGGACTCCATAGTTTCCTCCATTCGATGGTGTCCTGGGAGCATTAACTGTCAACCTGACACAGCCTAGAGCCACCCCAAAAAATAAATCTTAACTGAGTAATTGTCCTCATCAGGTTGGTCTGTGGGCATGTCTACAGGGATGGTATCCACTATGAGCAGTGCCATTGTCTGGGCCGGAGGTCCTGAGACATATGAAGAACCAGGTGGGCATGAGCTGGTGTGAAGCTGTGGGTGTGAGTGGGTGTGAGTCTGTGAGTGTCAGCTGGTGTGAGCCTGTCAGTGTGAGCTGTTGTGAACCTGTGGGTGTGAGCGGGTGTGAACCTGTGAGTGTAGGCAGGTGTGAGTCTGTGAGTGTCAGCTGGTGTGATCCTGTCAGTGTGGGCTGTTGTGTACCTGTGGGTGTGAGCAGGTGGGAACCTACGAGTGTGAGCGGGTGTGAACCTGTGAGTGTAGGCGGGTGTGACCATGTGAGTGTGAGCGGGTGTGAACCTGTGAGTGTAGGCGGGTGTGACCATGTGAGTGTGAGTTGGTGTGAACATGTGGGTGTGAGCTGGTGTGACCATGTGGGCATGAGCGGGTGTGAACCTGTGGGTGTGACCAGCAGGCAGTGTTCCTCCATGGTTTTAAGTTCCTGCCCTGACTTCTGTCAATGATGGGAATAATGTGAGAATAAAGTGAAAGAAATCCTTTCCTCCCTATGCTGCTTTTGGACAGAGTGTTTTTTATCACAGCAGCAGAGTAAAACTGGAATGGAAGATAAAAGCCGAGAGAGAAGGAAGGGTCACTTCTGCCCCACAAGTGAGGTTTCTCATTTTCCAGGAGGCTGGTCTCTTCACAGACAAGCTAGAAAGACCTAGAAATCCAAATTTGGAACAAGATTTATGCTCAGTAGCATGTTAGTTAGTGCCCAGCTGGGGAGGTGGAGTCTCCCAGGAGCCTGTGTGAACCCTATGTGTCTGGGAACACTTTTGCTGAAGACCATGGGGCTATCAGAGAGTAAGCTGCTCGGCTGCGGGCGGGCTTTACCGGCTGTGGGCGGGCTTTACCGGCTGTGGGCGGGCTTTACCGTCATTCTCCATTTCCATTGGTGCTTTGCCTTCTCATTGCATCCACACAGCTACTCTCACCTCTATTCTCTGTCTGTAAGCATCTAGCTTCACGATGGAATTCTCAATTAAAATAAGATTGCTCCACCACTGTAGTGGCATCTCGCCTTGCCAGCAAACTTGAAGTACTGGCCACACCCTTTGGGGCGTGGTTTCAGGTGCAGATGTGACCCATTAAGGGAGAGGAGGAGCTGACACATGCTCCCTTGCCTCTTTTGGGTCCGGAGGGCACTGGGAGAGCAGAGACTGCATCTTCTGGAGCAGGAAGACTGCGGTGGTTGTATTTACTCTTCTCTGTGTAAGTCCTTCCCTAATAAACACCTATTTATCATTTATCTTGGGTCTGGTGAACCCATTGAAACCCTGCCTTCACACCTCACTCCTTCAACTCAAACAAGATTTCTCCACTTCCATTTTGGAAATGTAACCTGAAAGGCCCTCGTGGCTCTGCTCTCTCTCTCTCTCTCTCTCTCTCTCTCTCTCTCTCTCTCTCTCTCTTACCATGCTTCTATTATGGGCAGGCCTCTATTTTGAGTTGACAAAAGAAATAATAGCTAATAGTCCGGGTCCAAGCTGGAAGTCACCAGAGTGGGAGCCAGAGTTTATTTCCTGACGATGCAAGGCCATCTAATCCGTCACCTGGCATAGGGAGCAAGTCTTGCGTAAATATATGTCATTGGCATGAGCACAGCTGTGTGGCAGATCCCAACTCCTTAGACCCGTGGGAGCCGGCAACACCTTCCTCCTGGCCCATGTGCAGAGGCTGACAGCCCGTGCAGGAAATGTCCACCACCCCATAGCCTCCTCCCGGTTTACATCTGAAGACCGACCCTCTGCAGAGAACGCGGCTACTTAATCAGCTAACCCTGCCTCCTCGCTCAGCTGTATGCAATGAGCCATGAGCCCCCCCCCCCCGTTCAACCATGGATAAGAAACACTGAGCTTTGAGGTTGGGGCGGATGTTCCGCCAGAGCTCAGCTCTTCTGTGGCCGTGTGTCTGCGGTGTCTTTAGTATCTGTCCCATTCTTTCTTCAACCCATCATTGCCCCGGTCAGAGACTATTTTATTTTTTCATATTCTCTGTCTCTTTCAGGCTTATTGCCACGGTGGCCACCACCAAAGATGAGGTCTGCCATCTGCTTCCTTTGCCGTCAGGGCACTGACCCCAACCCTACACACTTGTCTTTCTCGTCGCCTCTGCCTGCCCAGAGACCAGACGGAGGGAGTTGCTGTAAGCTTGCTCAGGATCAGCGCTGCAACGGACACTGGTAAGCCTCCGCGCACTGTGTGTTATGCCGGGAGACTGAGGCAAGAGGCGTTTACACGTACTGCATGGATGCGGTAATCCTTCTCCACGAAGGTTATAGCAGCGGCAGATGTCTTGGCCTCCGTACTTTTGGCGTGAGGTGGGGGTAACCTCTCTGCAAACATGAGGTCCTGGCAGAGTCCTTTGTGACCCTGCTGCGAGATTCTCTCCTCCATGTTTCCTGGCTTGTTGTTGTTGTTAGAACTTGACACGAGCGACTCCGTCCTGGTCCGGACAACTCTCACATCCATTTCTCCTGAGGGAACAGGCATGGATTTTTTGACCGTTTTTTTGTTCGTGTTTAGCACCCAGCAGGACCTGGCATCCTGCACTCAGCGGGTGTCTGGTAATGGCTCTATGTTAAGTTGATTGAGTTGTAGCACTGTTTCCAGGAAGAGTGAACCAATTTCCTTTTTTTTTTTTGCAGTACATTTATTGTTTTTAATGTCATAGCTTTCACTTTCCCAATGTTAGATCATTTTCATCTACTGTACCCACTGTTGTAACGTTTCAGTGTTCACGTCTCAGCCCCGATCTTAGAAAGGAAGTGGCCAAGGTGTTTGCTGTTGGCATCTCTGCACAGTCACACTGTGGGTTGCTGTGGTCCACACCAACGGATGCAACCCACCCGTCTGGATCTTGTTGGGAGTCTGATGGGGGATGTCCTCCTCCTATGTATATATATGTTCCTCTTATTGGTTGATGACTAAAACACTGTTTGGCGCATAGAGGCAGGAAGGTAGGTGAGGCGAGGAGACGAGAAGAATTCTTGGAAAGGTAGGCAGAGCGGGCCTGCCAGAAAGAGACGCCAGGTAGCTGAGCAGGAGGATAGGACTCGACAGGCATTGTCTGGTAAGATAAGGCCATGTAGAAATACACAGATTAGTAGTTATGGGCTTATAATGAAGGCAGAGCTAGCCAGTAAGAAGCCCTAGTCACCGGCCAACAATTTAATAATTAATATAGCATCTGTGTGTTTATTTGGGGGACAAGGAGAAACCTCCAGCAGCAGGGGTCTTTCTTGGAAGCCGACCTGGCTGTGCTTTGGATTTGGCTAACAGCTGTGTCAGAAGCTACAGTTTCCATTGCTATTATCTAGCAGCCCAAAAAGCGACGCTGAGAGGGTGATTTGTTCTGACCCATGGTTTACAGGGACGCAGTCCATCCTGGTGGAGCAGGCACAGCGTCAGGAAGCGATCTCTGGCAGCCAGAGCTTGAGCCTGGGACAACTGACAAATTCCCATCTCAGATGACCTGGGCACAAAGATCGGATGGGAAGTAAGGCTGAGCTGCAAACCTCAAGGCCACCTCCAGACATTCACTTCTCCTTGGGAGGCTCCGCCTCGTTAAGAAGTCTCCACACTCACAAAACAAACTGCACCAGCTTGAGGTCAGCGTTCAGTCAGCGCCTGTGGGGAATACTCTATCTAACTATGACACACATTTCACCTTCTTCCTTGTTACCGCTCTCTGTCTCTCTCTCTCTCTCTCTCTCTCTCTCCCCTCTCCCTCCCTCCCTCCCTCCCCCTCTCTCTGTGTGTGTGTGTGTGTGTGTGTTTGTGACATTTGGCCTGTAGCCTATATGTTCAGGGTCAGACCTTGGGGCACCACCCATCATGTCCCTTGTTGAGCATCCTGCATCCCTGGCTGGTCTCGGGGCTCCTACTATCCCATTGGCCTCAGAGGCTGCTGACACTGTCTCTCTAGAAAGTCTGTTGTTTTTGTGTGTTAGTAAGACCAAATTGTCTGGGGAAAGGCGGGGTGACTGGCTCCTGGCCCAGCATTCTATGGGGCACTTTCAGTCACTGTGGCTTCCACGGTGGGGACCTTATTGGTTTCCAAGACTCCCTGCATCTTGTGGTCCTTGGAGATGCTTGTCTAGTGTTTGATTTGTTGTCAAAATCTATATTTGGCTACCTTTTGTTCTTTTCTTTTAATCTGCTCTAAGCTCAGGGCAGTGTGTGTGTGTGTGTGTGTGTGTGTGTGTGGTGTGTGTGGTGTATGTGTGTATGTGTGTGTGTGATGTGTGTATGTATGTATATGTAGTGTGTATGTATTGGTATGTATATCTATGTATGTATGTGGTGTGTGTGTGTGGGCGTGTGTGTGTGTGCCCACATGTGTGTCAAGGCCAGAGGTTGAGGTCAGGTGTGTTCCTCAGGGTCTCACTGAGTCTGGAGCTCTCCTATTCAGGTAGACTAGCAGTCCAATGAACCCCATGGTCCTCCTGTCTGCCCCCCCCACCCTGGGATCACAGGCACGCACCATGACACCTGGCTTTTAAGTGGGTGTTGGCACTTCACAGACTTAGCCATCTCTCGGGTCCTAAGCAGAGACTTCTCTCTTGAAAACTTTTTTCTTTTGTTGAAAATAGTTTTTTAATACAATATATTCTGACTGTGATTTCTCCTCCCTCTACTTCTCCCACTGCCCCCTTCTCCCCTCCAGATCCACCTCGTTTCTGTCTCTTGTTAGAAAACAAACAAGTATTTAAGGGATTGTGTTATGATATGATAAGACGAGAATGCGCAAATCAGAGTAGGGCCAAAAAGCGTGCAAGGAAAGGGAAAAGAAACAGATACAGATGCATATGACACACCTGTGCACACTCAGGAATCCCATAAAAACACAAAACCAAGAAGCGGTAACATATATGCAAAACCTGCAGGGCTTAAAAAAGATGATAAAAGTTTAAAACAATCCCGGACGCATCGTGAGGTGTGGAACCTTCAAAGACGCCGTTAGCACCACTGCCAGAGCAGAGCTTTTAAACCCGGCTGTCGGCCTGCGCTGTACAGGTGGATTTTCTCGCTGTGGTCTGCTTCTCTCCCTCCTCTGAGGACTCTGGGAAACGGGAACTGTGATGTCACTGTCCCCATCCTCGGGGGGGTTGAGGGGTAAGCATCATCTGGGAGGTTCTGCCCCCAGCAGTGTGGAGCCGGTAGCTTTGAGTGAGGCAGTTCTGAGTTCAAATCCACACTCAGTTATCTTCTTTCTGCGTGACCTCAGAGTGTATCTCGTGGCCCTAGACTTCAGTGTGGTCATGGTCCGTGTGTCTGGCAGCTTTCCCCAGACCACCCCGGCTGTTGCCAGCAGCCTTGAGCCCTCTGTGACTGATTGGAGCCGAGAGGGACACTGCATCAAATGAAGCTGCTGATTGTAACTAAGGGACATGTGTTAGAAGGGTGATTAGAAGAAGTCAGCGTGAGCTGTGTCTCCATCCGTGTCATACTCAGAGATTAATCTGAGCCCCCTGTGGGGGTGGCGTGAACACAAGGAGAACCAAGTCCAATGCTATGGCCCTAATGGGAAGACGGAATCCAGTAATGAGAGCCAGGGGGCGGGGCCTGACCTCCTAATGGGAAGATGGGATCCAGTAATGAGAGCCAGGGGGCGGGGCCTGGCCTGGCAGACACCGGAGATGCAGACCTGGGCGATTACTGCCTCTCTTGACTGCAGTCTGTCCTTATGAATATAAATATCTCCGGTACGGCTTGTCCAGATAGTCGCTCTCACAGTGCCTTCTTCCTTAATGAAAACGAAGTGCTGGGCCAGTACTAAACAGAAGCTTTGCTGACATATTTAACTGTCTCACCAGGAAGCAGAAAACCACTCTTAAAAGCAAGTGGAGCCCGAGAGAATCGAGCAGGCCCCTTTTAACGACCTGGGCCCCATTAACTTGAGGGAAAGTATTTTCGAGTTGCCTAGCCTCCACACCCTCCCTTTACGGCGTCTCTCGGGGCGGCCGGTATCTGAGATTACACAGTCAGTTTTTTAACCCAGGCTTCCACCTGAGGCACCTCCTGGGTGTTTTGCAGACCTGCCTGGGAGCCGTTGACCCTTCAAGGTAAATGTCTGAGAGGGAGATGCAGCTGCTGCCCTGGAGCCCCGCCCTGCCTGGCTCCCCTTCGCCTCTGACTGGACTTTTCCTTTGTTCCCCTGGATGTCAAATCCAACAGTGAGAGGCAGGCTGGCGGAGAGGAGCCTCTCGGTTAATGTGGGGGCAGAAACGAGCCAGGAGCCAAGTCTGCTCTTTGCACACCGACAATGTGTGTAATTGCAAGGGATTCTGCCAGCTTAATAAAATGGGCCTTCTCCGCGCCTGCCGACAGATTGATTAATCCACTAAAAGGAAAACTTCTGGAAGGAATCTTCAATCGAAAAGTCTTTACCGTCCTAGAATCTTTTCCTAAAGTAAGCCCAAATTAATGAGGTTTATTGTATTCAAACCCAGAAGTTTAAATCGCTATGCTTTTCTCTGTTTCTTCCTTAAATCTCCCAGAATGAAGAGGCTCTGAGGGAAAAAAAGAAAAGAAGAAAGAAAAGATCCCTTGAGAAGTTACTGAAAACGGAGCACCATCCATCCGAATGCTGCGAGCTTGGACTGTTCTGGAAGCAAGCTTGCTGGAGGGCATCTGAGTGGGATAGACTGTTAGGGATGGGGTGGTAACTGCCCCCCTTTTTGCTGAAGTCATAACCCAGAGCCTCCATGTGGGGACTGTTCGGAGAGAGGGAGGGTACATTCATTGCTTTCCTGTTGCTACGATGAAACACCACTACTGTGTGAGTCAGGGTTCTCTAGAGTAGCAGAACTTAGAGAGTTTATCTTTCTCTGTACACGGAAAGGGGTTTATTGGGATGTTTGACAGGCTGTGCAGTCCAGCAAATCCAACAGTGGCTTGGTGCTAACAGAAAGGCCAAGAATCTGATAGTTGCTGGGCCCACAGGGCTGCAAGTCTCAGCTGGTCATCAGTGGACGCTGGAATCCTCTGAAGGAGTAGGTTCTAGTGCCAGCGAAGGAATGGGCCTGCCAGCAAGGCAAGGGCAAGCAGGCAAAACAAAAAGGCTTTGTCCCTCCGTGTCCTTGCATAGGCTTCCTGCAGTAGGTGTGGCCAAGATTAGAGGTGTCCTGTCCAGTCCCATGCCCCCCCCCGTCTCAAGATATGAATTAAAGCTGTGTGCCTTCCAACCTCGAAAATCTGGGCTAGAAGTGAATTCACCCGCTTCAAATCAAGCAAGAAAAAAATTGCTTACAGGTGTGCCCTCCACGTCTGGGTTGTAGTTCATCACAGATGGAGGTAGTCAGGCTGACAACCAAGAGTAGCCATCACAATGATCAAGGCAAGTTATAGAGGGGACTTCATTTGGGGTCATGGTTAGGTAAGCCACATACTCCCCACTGGGGCCTGTCTTTGGCTTCAGCTCTGGGGAGGAAGGTGTGGGAAAAGTTAGCGTGAAACCAGAGGGAACTAATCCACTGAGCCTAAGAGGGAACTGTAGGTCACCTCCTAATTTCTCCTGTGGTAATCTGCCTGTGGGGTGAGGCAGAGCGTGGGGGTTCCACTGAGAAGGGACCTGCTCACACGGTGGGCACGGGGAACCTGGCTAAATTAGCTAGCGGGATTATCAACTTCCGGACAGGAGTCAGACTTGCCGGATGCTGGGGTCGTGCTGGGGGCGGGGACTGCAGGCTGTGCTGCCGAAGCCCCTGTCTGGAAGGGTTAATGCACAGGTGGAGGCCTGGTGTGAGCAGATGGTTTGGTCTGACCTGTGGTCATTAGACGCTTTGCCTTCCAGGTTGGGAGGACGTGTAGACTTGGAAATAAGTTTAAAAACTTTACGGGCTTGCCAGGAGTGTTTGGAAGCTGGTTTAAAGTGTGGGTGGGGGAGGAGCAGCGGGGGATAGCTGGGTGTCAAACAGGCCTCTCTGAGTACACTTGAGGGGTTCCAGCAGGAAGGTCTTGATTCTGGTTCCCCAACTTGGTTCTTCCGGCAGGCAGAACTGCTCCCAAGAGTCCCTCCATGCCCCGCTGTCTATCTTGGGGAGGTCCCTCCCTGCTTGACCTCCAGGAGGTGGCGCCACCACCTGTTGTGGGAACACCAGACCTTGAGCAGAGACCCACTTCCCCTTCTGCCTGGGAGTAGGCAGCTGTAAGACAATGTTTAATAAAAACATGTTTACTAAAAACGATACAATAAGTTCCTGGGAAAGGCCTTCCCACGGAAACCGCCCTGACCTCAACCTTGTCCAAAGACTAACCACACCTTCAAAAACCCACACACATTCACCTCTGGTGTCAGAGCAGAACCAGCCAGGGTAGAGGAGAGAGCAGAAGCTTCTCTGGTGGGAGCTTTTCTTAGGAGGTTTTCTTGAACCTTTTTGGAGCCTGTTTAAAGTTTTCTTTACATCATTGAATGAGTCTCTGTGTTGTCAATCCCCGACACCCTCCGCACGGTCTCGGACACAGGCCACGCTGCAGATGTGACAATTGGAGGTCCCACCGAGATCGTGAAAGCGAGGAAGTGAGAAGCCCATTTGGGTCCCCGAACGGTGCATCAGGCATGTCGACCCCAATACTACTCCGGATACTAGTAATGCTCACCATGATAAAGATGATCCAACCATTACCGTACACTCAGGTAAGGGAAATATGGGTGTTGGTGAGGATTCCCCCCCATATTAACACCAGTTAGTCATTCCAGCTCCCTGTTCATCAATTTTTATAACACCAATAATACATTGGAAGCGGCTGCTGCCAATGAGATTAAAAAGTCAAAAACTAGACATTCTGAGTTTCCCCCTCCTAAGCCTGATACCAGGGTCAGGAAGTAGGGGAATCCAAGAGATTCCCAGCGGCATACGCTTTTAATCCCAACACACCTTTATACAAGTCCCAGGACAGCCTCCAAACAATACAGAGAAACCCTGACTCAAAAAAAATTGGTACTGGTATTAATTTTAAAAAAAGACAAAGACAAAGGTATATGAAATGGAAAATTTTGTTTACATTTAAGTTCTATTTTGTGAGTCATCTCTAAAAACTTTTGGCCAAAAGCCTGGGCTCTCTACCTTACATCTACAGAGTTACAAGGAGTAGGTACGGCTGTACCCCATGACTGTAGCTCAAATGGAGGAATGATAAAAACATATAGGACTTTTTAACCTTTTTAGTTCAAGGATTGGCTGGAGTTGTTCTTTTACATAGATTTCAATTAAGAAAGCTTCATTGCAACAGACTAATCATGACCTAGGGAAAAAGGATGACTAAAAGATACATGTATGTTCTAAATGTATGGTGTGGCCACACCGGTATGTATGAAATGTGATTGTGAATGCGTGAGTGTAAACTGCTTATATGATTAAAAGGATACTTAAATCCCTTTAAAAATAGTTAAAAAGCTACCTAGATTGCTTTAAATATAGCCAAAAGGAACATCCAGCCAGTCTGTTAATGTTTTAACAGAAAAATTTAAGATGCAAATGAGACCTTGTCAGCTAGTGAGAGCTCTACAGGTTAGATTGGGAAAGACTGCTCACAGACTTCAAATAATTTTCAAAAGTTATTTGGACACAGTATAGTTTACAATCTTTGAGTGATTTTCAGAAGTTTTTGAGAAATATTTAAAGGATATGTCCTTTTTAATGGACATCTACAAATAATTTACCTAGATAGTTAACCAAGGAGGGTAGACAAATCCTTCTATTGTTATGGTCCAGCTTCAACAGTTCAAAAAAGAAAAATATTTTTTAAAAATAAAAAAGGGAAAATAATGCCCCCAGTACCCACATGACTCATCAAATAATACACTCCTCATTCAAAAATTTTATAATGTAAATGCCAATAACCTTCAGACAGATTCTGGCATGATGGAACTTGAGCAACCATTGCTCAGGTCAAATGGAGACATCCATACACTAGACAGTGGAGAAGACCCTAATTTGGGGTCGAGGGCATGTTTGTGTTTTCTTGCAGGAAAAGAATAAAACTTCGGCAACTGTCAGACCATTTAGTGAGATGCATGGAGCAGAGAAAAACTGGACCTGAGACCATGGGAGCCTACCTAAGCCGGTTTGAGTGAGATCTCCTAAATCAGTGTTCCTGACCCTTGATGTCATCAAATCTACAGCCCAAGAAAGAAAGAAAACAGTCGGTTCGAGATTTCCAGTTTCTCAACAGACCTGCTACATTAACCTTCTGGACCCGTGAGTTTTCATCCCAAAGCCAACAGAGAACTGGAAAGACTAACTGTCTGCCCTTGACACACCTTGAAACAACAGAATTCATTTTGCCAGTTTTCCCTTTAGGGGAAAAAAGGACCCATTTAAAATATTTGGACATTGGTATGGACTATGAGTGGCAAAAGCCTCTTTTCAGTATTTAAACAGGACATGGTCACTTAAAATATCAGACTTAATGGTTCCTGTTTCTGGAATCACGACTAGGCCAGTGTATTTTTCTGGAGAAATGCAACTTGTCCTAATGCGACAACTATTGTTCATATTTTTCATAATGCTACATGTGTAACATTAATGATTGTACCTAATGTATCTGTGCAAGTGCACTTTCTAAATGCTTTCCTTAGCATATCTTGAAACGATTGGAAACTTTATCAAATTGTAAATGTAAATCACATGCGGGTTACCCTTGTAACAGAATGTAAATCACGTACAGGTTACCCTTGTAACAGACAAAGGTTGGTAGAATGTTATGGCCCAGATCTGGTGATGGGTATGGTGATGGAGAGGCGCTATGTCAATGGGGGTCCTGGAAATGGTGGCAGTGGCGGTAGGCATTCTGGCTTTATGCTGAGCTCAAACGTGCCTTGTTCCAGAGACAAGAGATCCGTAACCAAGCATTGCTTAGCTTAGCCCATGGCAATCCCGATAGCCATAAAGGTTGGTTACAGATGATTGTTACGTCTGCAGCGTGGCCTGTGTCCGAGAACGTGCGGAGGGTGTCGGGGATTGACAACACAGAGACTCGTTTAATGATATAAAGAGAACTTTAAACAGGCTCCAAAAAGGTTCAAGAAAAACTTCCTAAGAAAAGCTCCCACCAGAGAAACTTCTGCTCTCTCCTCTACCCTGGCTGGTTCTGCTCTGACACCAGAGGTGGATGTGTGTGGGTTTTTGAAGGTGCGGTTAGTCTTTGGACAAGGTCGAGGTCAGGGCGGTTTCCGTGGGAAGGCCTTTCCCAGGAACTTATTGTATCGTTTTTAGTAAACATGTTTTTACTAAACATTGTCTTACAGCTGCCTACTCCCAGGCAGAAGGGGAAGTGGCCAGGAACTTATTGTATCGTTTTTAGGAAACATGTTTTTACTAAACATTGTCTTACAGCTGCCTACTCCCAGGCAGAAGGGGAAGTGGGTCTCTGCTCAAGGTCTGGTGTTCCCACAATTCACCCCTTTTTATTTTCAAATGAGGCACTCCTGGCTTAGGTCAAGTAGGGTCACCCTCCCTTTCCCGTCTTTGGGGGACCTTGAACCCCTGTTTTAGGTGGGAGGGGTCTTCCCCACAGGTTGCCCGTCATCGGAGATACCCCAACCTTAAATCATCTGTAACCAACCTTCATGGCTATCGGGATTGCCATGGGCTAAGCTAAGCAATACTTGGTTACGGATCTCTTGCCTCTGGAACAAGGCACGTTTGAGCTCGGCATAAAGCCAGAATGTTACTGCCACTGCCACCATTTTCAGGACCCCCATTGACATAGCGCCTCTCCATCACCATACCCATCACCAGATCTGGGCCATAACATTCTACCAGCCTTTATCTGTTACAAGGGTAACCCGCATGTGATTTACATTTACAATTTGATAAAGTTTCCAATCGTTTTAAGATCTGCTCAGGAAAGCATTTAGAAAGTGCACTTGCACAGATACATTGGGCACAATCATTGATGTTACACATGTAGCATTATGAAAAATATGAACAATAGTTGTCGCATTAGGACAAGTTGCATTTCTCCAGAAAAATACATTGGCCTAGTCGTGATTCCAGAAATAGGAACCATCAAGTCTGATATTTCAAGTGACCATGTCCTGTTCAAATATTGAAAAGAGGCTTTTGCCACTCATCATAGTCCATACCAATGTCCAAATGCTTTAAATGGGTCCTTTTTTCTCTGTTAGCTTTATGATGAA